CAAAGATTATGTACTAGCGTAATTTACTAGGAAAGAATTCTCTGATATGTATTTTAAAATTTAATGCAATAGAGCAATTTTTTGCTTAAAACTATACACAATTTGTAACAAAATTGATTTCATTAATTTGGGTATAGATCCTTGTGAAATGAGTAAAAATCCTGGCAATTGCACTGATTCACAAACTAGAGTTTACTATGACACAACTCAAGAGCAATGCCTTACATTTCAATATACTGGCTGTGGTGGAAACACAAACAACTTTAAAAACTTTGTGGAATGCTCAAACACATGTAGTGAGTCAATATATATAATTTAAAACAATAGAAATTTTAATGTCATAATTTTAATGAAACTTACAGGCTGTCCTAGTAATATGAAACTAGAGGAGTGTCAGCAAGATCCCTGCTTAACATCATCTTGCCCTAACTTCCCTCATTCACAGTGTCTAGCTGATTATTGTGGTGGTTGCAAAGCCAGGTTCTATGAGTATGGAAAAGAAGTCACTGACATTTGCTGTAAGTGCAAATTAATATTATTCTTATGTACTGAATTTATTATTTTGTATAGCATGTCCTAGAACTCAGTCCTTATTGTCTTGTCCTTCAAACTGTACTCCTACCTGCAGGATGCCCTCACCAACCCATTGCACTACACCAGTTACCTGTTCACCTTCTTGTGGCTGTGCTGTTGGGACAGTTCTTGATGAGTTAACTAATCATTGTATTCCTCCAACATCTTGTGGTTAGTTATAATGAGTACATTAGTGTAAAATATCCTTAAAATTGTTTTTACTACCTGTATGCTTAGTTAAGTGTTTATTACAAAATCTCTTAGGGTTTGTCTTGATGTCATGCTATGCTCAAACTTTATGCTCAAAGTTGGAGCTGATTCTGAATGAAAATATTTTGGGTTATACATTATATGGTCAATTTAGAAACTTAAACCAAAAAGTGGCTCCAAATTCAGCCCACATTTCCTGATACATATTGATGTGCTTATGCTGTGTAGAGAGTTTGAGCTGATTTCGAAATAAAATTTTAGAATTATGGAAATTTAGGCATTTAAAAGCGCGCCAATTTTTGAAAATACCCAAGGCTATTATAGCCTTGGTTTTTTTTTCCAAAAATTGGCTTGTTTCTTATAGCCCACGTTTTTTTCAAAAAATGGTTCTGGAATCACCCCAAATTTTTATTGCAATTTCTGATACATATTGATGTCCTTATGCCATGCAGAAAGTTTGAGCTGATTCAGAAATTTTTTTCGAGTTATTAGCATTTTCTTTAAATGAGCCAATTTTCAGAAAAAAAATAGGCTATAACCCATGGTTTTTCCAAAAAATTGCTCCCAAATTTTATTACATTTTCTGATACATATTGGTGTCCTTATGATGTTTAAGCCAATTCCAACTAAAATTTTTCAAGCTATGACCATACACTATAATAGTCCATGGCACATGTGTACAACAATTTTTAGGAACAACCTGGAGGGTTTTGTTTGCCCCTAGGTCATAAAAATCCAAATACAATACATCTTAATTTACATTTTTAGACACATGTAGTCTTTCATTGAGTGTTGGACCATGCAAAGGTAACTATCCAAGATGGTTCTTCAATTCAACTGCTCAAGAGTGTCAGTTGTTTTCTTATGGTGGTTGTGAAGGAAACAGCAACAGGTTCACATCATTGGCAGCTTGTACTGATAAGTGTGGTATGTATATCAAGACTTCTATGCATAATATTTATTCATTTAATTTTATAGGTTGTCCACAGAATAAGTCTTTACCAGTACATTGCAGTGTAGACCCATGCCAGGGCTCAGAGTGTCCAGCATATCCAAACAGTAAATGTGAAGTTGACAAGTGCATTAGTACTGGTGAATGTACTGCTAGACATTATTCACTCTTTGATGATATCACTAGTCAGTGTGGTAAGAAGTAGAATCATTTAATAAAAATGAATTTATTCTATAATTGTGTTAGATATTTGTGGTCTACCAGTTAATCCTGGTAGCTGTGATGGTAATGTAACACGTTGGTATTTTAACAAAGAGGAAAGAAAATGCCAGCAATTCATTTACAGTGGATGTGATGCTAATAGAAACAACTTTGAAACATTATCTGAGTGTCTTCGCTCATG